AAGTCGCGCTCGTGTGTGTGAGACGCGGGAGCTGATGGCAGGGGGCGGTGGATATTTGTGGCGGTCAATGTGGATACTGTGTATGAGTTCTTCTGTGTCATCACGTTCTATTAGTTCTACAGCTTCAGTTTTCGGAACTTTCACGCTTAGTAACACATACAGCTGTTCCCTCACCACAGTGCAACAGTGAAAAGGGACCACTTTCAAACAGTGTCGCGTTCCGAACGTTGTTCAAGCGACATACAACAACGCTTAAAAATATTGCGGTATTTTAAAAATTCATATCATAACAAAAATAAACACTGGTATTCGGTATGAACCGGTATACCGCCCAACGCTAGTGCATTGGTACATTAAGTTTGCTTTTTCAACATTTAGATATCCCAATCTTTATGATTTTCTCTTCCATATTTTCCTTTTATTTGCCATAATAATGTTTCTTTGTTACTGATGTTTGTTCTTCCACCAACCAACAAGTTTCCTGCATTAAAATACTTATGCTGTAATTAGTTTAGTAGTACACGAGTTACAGCCTCATAACTCAATGACACACTCACCTACGTCCTTTCTCTTGTCCTTAGGTTACCAAGTATTCAATCCCAGGGTCAACCCTTTTTTCTATTATGTGCAAATAAACCTTTCACAGCCTTCATGTCAGATGGAAAGCATAATGTTTTGCCTTTAATTTGAATAAGAGTATAAATAACAGCAGGGCAGTCTGCTTACACTGTTGAAGGCCAGTTTGATGTTTCCTGCATCCAGTGTGGTGGCGCGTTTATCTGAGCTGATCACTGAGCCAAACTCCTCGAAGCCCGTGTTGATCTCCACCAGTAAGCCCTTATCCTGCACAAACACACACACACACATTTCATCAAGGGCTTCAGCACTGATCTGATGTGAAACACTGACGTCACAGTCTCTCACTCACCTTCAGGATGTCTTTAATGATTCTCTTCTCATCATGATAACGAGCTTTCAGATCCTCCACGTAAAACTTGAATAAGTCCAGAGGGGTGGAGCCTAAAAAAAATATATATACACAAAGCATAACACGACTGAGCAACTTTTTACAATAAAAACACCAATATTTTAAAGCAACTCATCATAATTATGATATACAATAAACAACTATTCTGCTAAGTAATGTAGACTTAATCATAGGATAATATATTTAAGTGCTGACGTATCAAAGTCATGTGGAGTTCAGAGAGTGTACTGGTGAAATGGAGACAGCATCAGAAATGAGGACAGGACCCTTTTACATGTATTATTCATCAGCATCAAAGCCTGCCACGCTCTGAGTGTTTGTGCGAGAGAGAGAGAGAGAGAGAGAGAGAGAGAGAGAGACCTGGCTGGCCCAGCATGTTGTTGAAGCGGATATCGGCACTGACGGTTGGGTACATCTCCATCCAGGCAGACATGGAGTGCAGCTGCCCATGATCGTGAAGCTCATCCAGGAATTTCTGAAAAACACACACAACGCTTCACAAACATGCCAGTGCTCTTGTCCTTTACTCCTCAGTCAGTTCGGTTTAGCAGTCCTCATGTTCTCAGAGAGCAAAGCATTAACATCGGTAATGTTTTTAGCAAGCCACTGGTTATAAAAAATAACATGTGCTTAGTTTGCTTTGGTAAGATTTTCAGTGTTTCAAAATTGCAAACAATTGCACTCTAATATTTGTAATTTGATCCAAACCAGTCTGCAACGGTGTCAGTAGATAATAACATGGGAGGTTTAAAAGGATAGTTCACCCAAAAATGAAAATTCTGTCATTAATTACTGACCCTCATGTGGTTCCAAACCCGTAAGACCTTCGTTCATCTTCAGAACACAAACTAAGATATTTTTGATGAAATCCAAGAGCTTTCTGACCCTGCAAAGACAGCAAGGGTCCTAACATTATCAAGGTCCAGAAATGTAGCAAGGACATCGGTAAAATAATCCATGTGACATCAGGGGTTCAACCGTAATTTTACAAATCTACGAGAATACTTTTTGTGCAGAAAAGAAAAAAAAATAACGACTTTATTCAACAGTTCGTCTCCTCCGCATCACCCTGTAGTGCCATTTTGGAGAGTATACACTGAATGTAAATTGCGTATGCTATTCTGTGTCAGCTGTGTCACGCGGATACGCGGTTTATGTTCAAATCAAAGCGTAAACGACGTAAACAGCGTGTCCGCGTGGCACATCTGACACGGGTCTTACGGGTTTGGAACAACATGAGTGTGAGTAATTAATGACAATTTTCATTTTTGGGTGAACTATCCCTTTAAATAGTAAATTTCCAAATGTGTGGTTGACACAATTTAGAGTCAGTTGTTGTATGCAGTTTGAACCCATATTATTGATTCATTGCCAATTATCAATAATTCTCAATAAATTGCCTTAAACATGCCAGTGATGTTTCATTTATTTATTTAATTTAGGGATGCACCGAATGTTCGGCAACCGAAATAAGCAATGTATTCTGACAGCGCTGCACGAGCTCGCGGCGCCAGGGTTCAAAGTCCAAAGCATGAGGAAAATCTGTGCTGAAATGTGTTACTCGTCAGTTGCTCAGTAACATTTTTGTGATTTTTTTTAAAGGCATGTGACAATGTGATACGTGCAACAAATATCTCCCCAAATTCGTAATGAGAATCATTTATAAATCTGCATGCTGTTGTCAACAAAAAGAAGCACTGAGATCTTCCTGTGGGATTCTGCCAAAATAAAAGCAGAGAAAAGCAAGAACTCCATCGACATTCATAAATGATAGTATTGTAATTTTACTGTTGTTCTGTAAAATAAAATAAAAAAGACAATAATAATGATAATAATTACCCTTCAACAACTCTATTAATACATTTATTATAACATTCACACATAGTGTTCAAATTGGGATCTGTAATATTTTCTAATGTTTTAAAAGAATTCTCTTCTGCTCAGAAAGGCTGCCTTTATTTGTACAGTAAAAAATACATGCCTGATTCAAGTCTCAAAAATGGCCAAAAAATATTATTATACTAACTTATTAATTTTAAGATAAATTGTGCTTTGTTGGTATAATGTCTGATAGAATGTAAAAAAAAATGTTCAGTGTTAAGTAAATATTTTTAAATTATGCTTTGTAATTGATTTTTTATTTGAAAAGCAGGACAAAACAGTAAAAAGCACATTTTGGCTATTTAATTTATGCAGTAATAAGCCTACAAAATAGGCCTACATGGGGGAAAAAATGTGAAAAACCGTGTTCGGTATTCGGCCTTCAGCCCAGTGTTTAATTTTGTTCGGCTTCAGCCAAGAATTTTCATTTCGGTGCATCCCTAATTTAATTATTAATTTATTTCATTCTGGCTTCCTCTCTGCACAATGCTCTGCAGTACCCTAAACTCGGTCAAACAGATCATCTGTCATCACAGACATCAGCTGATATTCCAGCATCAAGTTCCAATTAATCAAGGTGAGAGTTTTTCATATTAGAAAGCTGGACATGTGATGCAGCGGACAAACCAGGACAGAGTCTCGTGTGTGTGTGTGTGTGTGAGTGTGCGTGCGTGCGTGCGTGCGAGCGAGCGTGCGTGCGTGAGTGAGTGAGTGTGTCACCTGGAAAGCCTCTCTGTTCTTGCGCTGTCTGCGTCTCTCCCGCAGCAGAGTTTTCTGTTTCTCTTCCTCCTCCTCTTTCTCGAGAGCACGGATGTGTTCCTCAAAACAGATCAGAGCATCTTCCTTGTCCATGTCTAACGCACACACAGACACAAAGATAAAAGCTTCCTCTATATCAAACACACTCGCTCTCATTATGCGGGTTAAAAGCATCATCGTGTGGAGGTGGCAGTACAGTGTGTGTGTGTGTGTTCATACTCTGTAGCTCCTCATCTTCAGCAAAGGTGGGGTTATCCAGTAGGTACTGCTGTGCCTCAGACCACGTAGTTCTGTACGTCACATTGGCCATATTGTCCAAAATGTTCTTCAGAGCTTCCCAGTTCCTCTTCCTCAGCTGCTTGGCTTGTTCCTGATAGAAAGCTTCGAGTTAGGATCATGTAAAATTAGACTGCAGACAGGACAAAAACTATATATACAGGGAGGGCTTTTAAACATTTTTTTTGATGAACAAAAAGTAAAGCATAAAGATACAACTCCAAATTCTGAGTAGATGATCTATGTTTGAAGTTTTTGTTTAACACACTACCGGTCAAAAGTTTGGGATCAGAAATATGCTGATTTATTATCAGTGCTGGAAACTTTTGTGCTGCTTTATATTTTTTTGGAACCTGTGATAATTTGTTTCAGGATTCTTTGATGAATAAAAAGTTAAAAAGAAGAGCATTTATTTAAAATAGAAATCTTTTCTAACAATATACATACAGTTTTTATTCTTTCTTTTTTGAAAGAAATGAAAACTTTTATTCAGCAAGGATGTGTTACATTGATAAGTGATAGCAAATATTTAGCTTGTTAGAAAAGATTTATATTTTGAATAAATGCTTTTCTTTTTAACTTTTTATTCATCAAAGAATCCTGAAAAAATTATTGCAGTTTCCAAAAGAATATTTGGCAACAACATTGATAATTCTAATAATAAATCAGCATATTAGAATGATTTCTGAAGGATCATGCGACACTTTATACTGGAGTAATGGCTAATGGAAATTCAGCTTTGCATCACAGAAATAAATTATATTTTAAAGGATATTAAAATAGAACCCATTATTTTATATTGTAATAACATTTTGCAAGATTACTGTTTTATTCTGTATTTTTGATCAAATAAATGCAGCCTTGATGAGCAGAAGAGACTTCTTTAAAAAAACATTACAAGTCTTACTGATCCCAAATGTTTGACCGGTAGTGTATATACATAAAAATCGAGCTGACTTTAAGCGCATGAAGAATATTTGCACTGTTTATAAATGCCATTATTTTCTTGACAATTAAGCACATTTTCCAGAGTTTTCATGATGCAAACACACTCACATATAAAGGCACTATTGATTGTATCAGGAGGTTTAAGCACAAATCAAGTGAATTTTAAATTAAATGCAACAAAAAAAATATTTTTGATTATATTAGTGGTTGGCAAATATAAACAGCCTACTGTTCAACTAATGAGTTATATTACTTGGAAGAATTATTTACTGATCTATTTTCTTCTAATAAACGGAATTACTTCTTGACAATGTTTATTGCAGTTGCTAAAGTTTTTTAATTATAATAAGCCACTGTGTGTTAGTGATTTTTTACAATGCGTCACACCTAACAACATCCCTTAATCACTGTAATGCACAGCCACATCTGGTTTATTGCTTTATAATTAGCGTTTGCATATTAAAATGCATCCAAATGAAAGTGATATCAGCATTTAAACTGTTTAATAGAAAAAACTAATTAGCAGGCTATTAGATTATCACTGCTCTCTCTTCTACAGTAATAAACAGAATCAGCCAATCAAACCTTCTCTTTCTTTGCTAAATAAAACAGCACATCTTCGTAGATCTCCAGCCGGTCTCTCTCGGGGACACATGACCACACTTCCTGATCGCCAAACATCTGCTCCGCTTTCCTGCACAAGACAAGACAACTTACTCACAAACAACCACTGCTTAAAGAACAACAACTTTTGCCGTAATATTTAATAAAGCATGAGTTCATCCATGTGAATGAACGTTGCTGCAGGTCATAAGCTAGTCAGTAGGGGGCAGTGATATTGCAGGATATTAACGTCACAGAACTAGTAATTAATAACAGTCTCTCTGAGACCGTATGACACAGTGCAGACAGGGACTCACGACAAACAACACTGTTATATACAGGTGAGATTTACACCAATAACATCATTTAACCTCCCAAAAAGTCACCATGAGAACACTGCTGATGTGATTTTACTCAATGACAGACAAAGAGAGCTGAAAAGTCATTAACCTTGTTTATAGTAATACTGGATTAAAAACGAGAGTGGTGCTTGTGCATGCAAATCTGAAGTGAGGGTGATTGCCAGGGCATTTCTATGCAGTTGCTAAGGTGTTCTGAGTATTTTTTTTAGTGTGTTGCTATACAGTTGCTAGGCTTTTCAAATCTCCAACCCAAAATACAAGGTCTACACTGTGATGTCGAGTGAGCATTGAATAATGTTGTCATCAAAACGGCTTAAAAAACCCACTTGTATCGTGTGGTTGAGGTCATCTTCTCGTGGTTCTCCAGGAAGCGCTGGAAAGTCTCTTTAGACTCCTTGTATTTGATTCTGGCTTCTTCCTTTTCCTCTTTCTCTGTCTGGACTTTATAAGCATTGAACGCTTGTTTCTTTTCACTCAGCTTAGGCAGAGCACTGCACACACACACACACACACACACACACACACACACACACACACACACACACACACACACACACACACACA